GACAGCAGGACGTGTGAGGACAGCAGGTCATGTATGAGGACAGCAGGACATGTATGAGGACAGCAGGACATGTATGAGGACAGCAGGACAGTGGTGAGATGTGCTGTAGGAGTGACAGATGGCTTCAAGGTTGAGTTGGGAGTGCATCAAGGATCAGCTCTGAGCCCCTTCTTGTTTGCTCTGGTGATGGACTGACTAACAGATGAGGTCAGGCAGGAATCCCCGTGGACGATGATGTTTGTAGATTATATTGTGATCTGTGGTGAGAACAGGGAACAGGTGGAAGAGAACTTGGAGAGGTGGAGGTATGCACTTGAAAGAAGAGGAATGAAAGTCAGTCGTAGTAAGACAGAGTCCATGTGTGTGAATGAGAGGGAGGAGGTGGAACAGTGAGGCTACAAGGAGCAGAGGTCACAAAGGTGCAGGGCTTCAAGGACTTGGGGTCCACTGTCCAGGAACATGAGGAGTGTGTTGAAGAGGTGAAGAAGAGTCCAGGCAGGATGGAGTGATGGAGAAAAGTTTCAGGAGTGATTTATGACAAAAGGGTGTCAGCAAAGATCAAAGGAAAAGTTTACAGGACAGTGGTGAGACCAGCTGTGTTGTATGGTCTGGAGCCAGAGACATGGACAAAAAGACAGGAGACAGAACTGGAAGTGGCAGAAGTGAAGATGTTGAGGTTCTCCTTAGGAGAGACAAGGATGGAGAAGATCAAGAATGAGATCATCAGAGGTACAGCACAGGTTGAACAACTGGGAGATAAAGTTAGAGAGGACACACTGAGATGGTTTGGACACGTCCAGAGGAGGGACAGTGGTTTGGACACATCCAGAGGAGGGACAGTGGACACATATTGGTAGAAGGATGTTAGAAATGCAGCTGCCAGTTAGAGAGGACATGGAGATAGTTGGAGTGAAGATGTAGGAGATGGAGGACAGAGTGAAGATGGAGGAGGACTTGTGGTGGAGACACCTGAAGAGGGAACATCTGACAGAACAGAAACATCAAAATCTTGAATTTCTTGTTAATAAACTTCTCTGGGTCTGAGAAACCGTCTCCTGTCTTCAGATTGACGTCCTTCAGGCGGAGGTCCAGGCCCTGAAGACCTTGGTGCTCTCCTCCCCCACCTCCCCCGTGGGTGAGCTTCCCTCTGCGGTGGGGGGAGGCGTTAAAACCCCCTTCAAGAAGGGCCACAGCCGGAACAAGAGCACCTCCTCGGCCATGCTGGGGACGCAGCCGGACCCGTCGGCCACGCAGCCCATCGTTCGGGAGTGTCGGGAGGTGAGGGGGAGGCGCCGGGCCACGAGCGTTCTCCTGGAGTCAGACGCTTGGGTTCTGATCCAGCTGTGATGTTTCAGGTGGACAGTCAGCTGTTCAGTGAGTTCAGAGCGTGGAGGGAGGAGCCGACGCTGGACCGCAGCTGCAGCTTCCTGGACAGAGTTTACCGCGAGGACATTTACCCCTGCCTCACCTTCAGCAGGAGCGAGGTACTTCACTCCTCGTGGTTCATTCGTTTCTTAAAGCCGGTCCCAAAGATCTGCAGCTGCTGCAGATCATCTTGTTTTGTCCGTTTGAGTCGTAGTAACGTCTCTGTCGTGTTCCTCAGCTGGGTTCGTCCATCCTGGAGGCCGTGGAGCAGAACACGCTCAGCGTGGAGCCGGTGGGTTTCCAGCCGCTGCCCGTGGTCAAAGCGTCTGCCGTGGAGTGCGGAGGACCAAAGTGAGAACACACACTTTCACACACACTCCCCCTCCCCTTCATCAAAGCTTTGACTCCATCACGTCTCCATCTCCCCTTAATCTTTTCCTCCAGCGGGCGAAGAGCTGAGCTCGTCACGTAAGTCGGACTGTCCTCCTCCACCTGCCTGGTTTCCATCCTCTCCTCCCTGAGTCCTTGTGTCGCTGCTGCGGATCTTTAGCTCGTAGATGAAACGTCGAGGAGTGAATAATGAAACGTTTGTGTCTCCGACAGAAAATGTGCCCTGAGCGGTCAGACCAAAACCTGCAAGCACAGAATCAAGTTCGGAGACTCGTCCAACTATTACTACGTGTCTCCGTTCTGCAGATACAGAGTGAGTACGAGCAGAGCTACGCCCTCAGCCGAACGCTGCAGCCGAACCTCCGCTTTCAGTTTAACACGCCTCGTGTCGTCTCCAGATCACAGCCGTGTGCAACTTCTTCACCTACATCCGCTACATCCATCAAGGGCTGGTCAAACAGCAGGACGGTAAGACCCAGAGACCTTCAGAGCCAGGGGACAACCACCACACTGAACACCAAGAAATAAGAACGAAATCTGAAGGATGGAGCAGAGATGAAGACTCTGTCAGATGTTCAGGCGTCCGGGACCAAAACGTTTACAAAAGTTCTGCTGCGTCAATTCAGTTTATCTCTATAACTCAGTCACAACAAAGTCGTCTCAGGACAGAAACGTTCACATACATTATAAAAGCCAATTGGTAAAGTTCTCTAAAGAAGCAGCAGATTGAGTTGAATCTTCACAGTCTCTCATCCTGAGCGAGCACAGAGGAGACAGTGGAAAGAAAAAACTCCCTTTAAACTTAATCATAGTCGTAAAAGCAGATGATGCGTCAGCCTCACGGACAGAAACAGGAAGTTGGTTCCACAAGCGAGGAGCCTGATACCTGAAAGATCTGTCTCCTGTTCTGCTTTGGAAACTCTAGGAACCACAAGTAAACCTGCAGTCTGAGAGTGACGCGCTCTGTTAGGAAAATATGGAAAATGAGCTCTGTAACCCTAAGCGGTGTTGCCAGATCTCGCGATGGAAACAAGCCCCCAAAAAAGCCCAACTGGCAACCCACCACACTGTGTAAAACAGAGGCCGTTTTTAAAACCGAATAAACATAAATTTATTATGGCGTTACACATAAACAACAGCAAAATGTTGCTAAACACTTTAAATAACATACTTTTAAGCTCTAATAAAAATACATTCTGCACATGTAACAAATATGTAAATCATATTCTTTCTTCATATTTTTAAAAACAAAACATCCTGACGTGCGTGTGAGTGGAGCCCCCTGGTGGTCAGACATAGTATGAGTGTTTGGGTGTGCAACTTGGACAGAGCGATAACCAGGAAACGGGGGCTTGGAAGGGACAAACTACCTGCTACCACTCGTCTTTTGCTTTATTGTTTGGATCTGGGAGATAATCAACTAGTTTCACTCGGAAAGAAAGGCGAGCCCAAATAAACAACTTCACGTTTAAAACGAGCCCAAAAAACAACAACCTGCGACTCACAAGATTTGTAAGTGACTTTAGAAACAAAACAACCCAAAGTCGCTGATCATAAATGAACTTGGCAACACTGAACATAAGATGGAGCTAGGTTGTTGAGGGTTTTGTAGGTTAGAAGCACGATTCTGAATTAAATTCTTTCGTTTATTCTGAGTTTCATCTTTAGAATTACAAACTGTTTAAATGACCTCCGAGGTGCACAAGTTAATGTGAACTGCTCCTTTAGCTGTTCATAAAATAAGTGCACACAGGAAATAATCCAGAAGTAATAAAGATAAATCTAGACTTTTATGGTTTATCGCCCGCTGCAGAAGATGAAGAGGTGATTCGTTTAGTGTTAGCAGAATACCTTAAGAGCTACTGGACGCATTTGAAGGAAGTTCTTGGATAAAATTTGATGAACAACTTTAACCGGTTTAACGTTTGGAGGCAACCCAAATCAAGATGGCCGCCAGAGCTAATGGATCTCCGTGAACACAGCTAAAGCTTTACCTGGGTCTGTGTGAGAAGGGCGGGCGATATGCATTCTGTCCAAGAATGATTTTTGTCTGTATAAAAACTAAATTCTTTAGGATTTGTTGGAAATTACAGGAAGACTTTTTTTTTTTTAATTATCGACTTTAAATAAAAAACTTAGACATTTTAAATTATAATATTTAGAAATAAACATTTAAATTACAAACCTTAAGAAAGTTATTCTTTAAGATAAAATGTTTTTTAAGTCGGCTTCACGTTTATTCATTTAATTATTAAACGTGAAGCCACGCCCATTTTCTATCATTCTAAAATAAAATGGATAAATGATAAATTCAGACATTTCTGAAGTTTTAATTCTTTTATTTTTTTTAAAGAGAGTTTATGATAATATGGAAGTTCTCAGTCCAGTCAAACATCGAATCGTAAACCTGATCCAAAACGGACCCGGTGGACCAGAACCGCTGATGGTTCTGATGGTTCTTGTCGTTTGCAGCTGAGCAGATGTTCTGGGAGGTGATGCAGCTCCGCAGGGAAATGTCCGTCGCCAAGCTGGGCTACTACAAGGACCAGCTGTGACCCCGCCCACCAGTCAGCCAAGCTCCACCCCCCGCCCCCTCCTGTTTCTGAGTGAGTCAATCAGAACTAAAAGGACTGAAAGAATCGGCGCCGGGTTTTCTGTCGGAACATTTTTCTTTATTTGGACCCGAGACACTCGTTGTTGTTTTTTTCTTCCCAAAAACAAACACGTTGTCTATAACTCCTGTTAAAATATTAAGATTAAAAATAATCAGAACAGACACTTCTGACCAGAAGATCGACGAGTTCTGAGTGAAATTGTTTTAAAATTTGAGGATTTCTTTAAAAAAGTTAACGTTTGTAAAATGACGCCCAAAAGAAAATAAATTCAAAAATGTTAAATTAGAAAAAAAAATGGTTTTGCAGAAAAACGTTAAATACTGTTAAATAAAAATCTATTTAATTTAAAAATTACAATAATTTTGACCCTTAATTTAAAAAATGATACCTTAACATGAAAAGTTTAAAAAAAAATCTGAAATACTAAATTTAAAGTATAATTTCCTCAAATTCATTAAATGTTTTATTTGATAACTCTAATATTTTTAGCTGTAAGATTTGATGAAGTTTAAATTATTTGCCTGATTATTTGTTGTTCTTGTAAAAATGAACCTATTTGTAAACATCTTAGTTTTGTAAAGTTTTTTTAATGTAATGATTGTAAATTAACTTTAAGAAGTTAGTTTTTTTTTCTAAATCAACAACTCTAAAAACACAAACTCATCTTTAGTTTTTGTCTCAAGTCTTTTCCCCGCATCAAATTAGAATTTAATTCAAATTTAAAATACAAAAGATTGATTTTTACAGTAAAACAATCACTAAATTATCCAAATAAACACTTTTATGCTCCTAATGTTAACTCATCTTTCTAATTTCTACTTGATTCTCAAAATATGTCAAAGGAATTATGGAAACGTGGAATTTATTTTGATAAATTATGAGGAGTTCAAAATAATTGCAACATTTTGAGCACTCGTTTGTTTCATTTGGTATAATGTTCAAATTTAATTAGCTTTTTATTCCTGCTTTAAAAAACTAAATTGTTTGTTTCCCCTCAATGTTGACACTAAATTTCTTTAAAAATGTTTATTTTTATTGAAAAGTTTATTTAGTTTAATTAAAAACGATGTATTCACTAATGAAACGTTCTTTAAAGTGACTTATTTTTGTTGGATTGTATATTTTTGTTAAATATCTCCTGTTGGATCATCTGAACTTTGAGTAGCTGAGAGATTTGATTCAGAACTCGGACACTTTGTTTGTTTGTTTGTTGTTTTTAAAGAAGGAGCTGCAGTTTCTGTTGATGGAGGAAAATCCTGATTTTTGTGTAAAACTTGTTTCTGTTGGAACGCTGAGATTTGTTGAAGCTCTTCGTTGGAACTGTTCTGTCGGGGAACCCGTTGTTTAATCTCCTCATGTGAATCTGAAGATCGCTCCTCGGCGAGACTCCGCCCACTCCCGGTTTGGTTCAGTGCCTTTTTTCTCTCCGACACTCTGAAATAAAAACGGTGATACCTCTGGACCTCCGCAGCTCTGCGTCAAGTTTGTTCCACCCCAAACACGCCGAAACGAGCCGACGGAGAGCGCTGGGGTTCTGAAGCTTTTCTCGGCCTCTTTCGGCTCGTGCGTTTTCACCGGACACTGAATTCCAACAAGTTGCTCAAACAAAAGTTTTTATTACATTTAATTTATAAAACGAAGAGGAGGACATCACGATGTTAGCTTTCGGCTACAGAGATCCTTTAAAAACATAAAAATTCACCTCAGCTTACTTGCTTTTTTTTTTAGCTTTTAGCCACTGGTTTACTTCTTTTAGCTTGTAGGTATTCATACATTTTTAATTCTTCTACTGTCTTTAGATTTAAATAGCTAATCTGATATTTTTAGCTGTTTGTTAATTATGGCCTCTACCATTTTATTGGTTTTACCTTTTAGCTACTGTTCTGATCATCTTAGCTTTCTGATAAGTTTTAAATTTTGTCTACTGTTCTGATAATTTTAGCTTTTAGCTACTGTTTTGCTTATGCCCTCCGCTGCTTTGCTGGTTTTAGCTTTCATCTAATCTGATTAGCTTTTTGCTGCTGTTTTGATCAAATTGACTTTCATATACTATTTTTAGTTAAAGCTTTTAGGTACCGTTCTGATCATTTTAGCTTTTAGCTGCTTTTTAGCTTTTAGCTACTGTTCTGATCATTGAAGGTTTTAGCTACTGTTTTGCTATTATTGCATCTACCATTTCACTGGTTTTAGCTTTCAGCTACTGATCTGATAACGTTAACTTTCAGGTACTTGACAGTTTCATCTTTTAGCTACTGTACTAATAATTGTAGCTTTCAGCTTCTGTGTTGTTCATATTAGCTGTCTGATACTTTGAGTTTTAGCTTTTAGCTACTGTTCTGATGAAGTTAGCTTCCAGGTGCTTTTTAGCCTCTACCTCACGTATTGAGTAAAGAACCACAAATAACGTTGATCATTAAAGTTTATTGAACCTCGTTTAAAAAGTGATTTCAAGTTTTTCAGCAGCTTTTTATTTTATTTTTTACATTTAATTGAAAAATGTCTCAAAACCTCCTAAAACAGCCGATGGAGCAGGTTCTGATTTCTGTGGGTCAGGACGAGCGGAGCATCGACGGACGGATCCACGCCGGTCTCACCGAGGCCACACCCCCCACGCCAACCCCGGCAGGAAGAGGGCGATGAGGACGGAGGAGAACAGGTTGACGGCGTTGTTGTCCAGGATGGGCTTCCCGCAGATCCGCCGGGTCGTGGCGGACTCGTAGCTCACCACCTTCCCAATGCTCGAGTCGAAGCCTGCGGACGCAGACGGAGAGCCGGTCGGCGAAAACGAGATCAAACGGGTTCACGTTTTTTTTTTGTTCTGGATTCTGCACCAACCAGAGTACTGCATGTGGGCTCCCAGGAACGAGTCCAGCATGGAGCCCAGCAGGCCCGCTGCGCCACCGTACACCACGATGGGCCACTGGGGGTCGGCCAGGTGCAGGTCGCTAACCAGGAGGAGCTGAGTCACGAAGTAAGCCACGCCCACTGCCGCCCCACCCAGGAAGCTGGCGACCAATCCGATGGTCGTGACGCCGCCGTTGGTTCCTGTTAACAGGTGAGTTAATTAACTTTAATTAAAAAAACAATAGTTTGTTAAATAATTATATTCAGTATCAAAACCGGTTGTTTATTAAATTAAAAATAAAATTAATGTTTAAACGTAAACAATTTAGAATAAATCTGGACTCTGAATCCTAAAAATTAAGATTTTTAAAACAACTTTTCATCGTTCCAGTTGATGAAATGAGTCAAAAAGGAAGAAACGTCGTCCGGACGTGGTGCGGGTCGTCTCCTCTGGGCCACCGTACCAACACAACAGCTTAAAACGTTTAAAAAATAATAATAATTTCACATCTGGATCCTGGACCCCCGAAACCGAACCCAGAGTCTGAGAGGGTCTTCATCCTAACCCTGTAAAATCGTTGCATCGCGTCGTTTGGTTCAGTAGCTGTGGCGGCCATCTTGAATCTGGTCCAGATGTTGTAGAACGGTGTTTCTGTTAACAAAATATCTCACGAACCACTGGACTGAATTTAAACTGTCAAAACAATAATGTACAAATAATTACAGAAGGATCAGATTACTGGTGGAAGGCGGCGGGCGATATGCATTCCGTCAAGGCATACCAGGAGTTACTAATGGTTCATGAGATATTTTGCTGACACAGACAAAAACATCACTTGCGTTCAGTGGTGGGCAATAAGAAGAAATAAAAAGGAGGACTGGATCAGAACCGACGGCCTCTCACCTGTCGGGACTTCCTGCCAGGTGGTGATGAGTCTGGGCTGTGATTGGCTCAGGACAGGCCCCACCTCCGACGCCCAGGTGTCCCCGGCGCAGCAGGCGAGTGCGCCCAGCAGAGACAGACACATCCAGGAGGCCGAGTACTGCTTCCCAAAGTCCACGGGGATCTCGCCCGGACCCACCTGGAACAGAACCCTGCCTTTACCCACATGTCAGTGCGTCACTGCGGCTCCGCTCGGACTCACCTCGATCATGTAGAGCAGCGCGAGCTCCGTGGGAACGCCTCCGTTACAGAACACCTGGACCCAGTTCCTCTGCCCCCCTGACGAACAGCCGGACCGTTAGCGCTTGTGAAAAATCCCACCTGAGCACATTCCTGCGGCGCCGCCCACCTTCTTTGAAGTCTGCGTCGATTTTCTTCTTCTTCTCGGCGCCCCAGCGGGTCAACTTGGTGGAGGTGATGAAGAACGTGAGCAGAGCCGAAAAGAAGCTGAAGTTGGCCATCGTCAACACGAACCCCACCAGGAGAGCTGGAACGGAAGGAGGCGGCGGGTTTGATCGTTTGTCGGGTAATGAATCCGTCCGCAGCTGGAGGCGTTGATCATTTCTGAGCTCGTCGTGGCTCCAGGGTGACGTCGCTCCAGTTTAATAATTTACAGGTTTTCTTGAAGCTAAATTAGATTTCTGTATTAAACGGCAACAAAATGCATTTTGACTCGTTATGTTTTAAACTCCATGAATAAATCTTCTGTATTCTACGACTTCACGCATAAATCTCACTGATGTGATTCTCTGGTTCCTGGAAATGTGACTCACATGATCCTCTGACTGGGAAAAAAAACGTTTTAGGGTCCGAGGCTGGAAGGAAAATCTGTTTTTGTCAAATATTAAAAAAGTCACCAGAACCTTGAAGTCATCGGCTGCTTAAAACCAGGACTATAAAACAACAAACTCACCTCCGAGCGCGCCGGATGCGTCCAGACTGCGTCTCTTCAGCGCTCGAACTGCCATCGTGAGCGGGACCAAGATGGAGAAGAGCCATCGCCATGGCGACACCGGCTGCAGGTTCCCTGGAAACAAACGGGAACCTCGAATAATCTCTCCTCCAGACTTTGAGTCAACAGGTAAACGACAGGTGTGTTAACGAGGATGTTTCTGCTTTTACACAGAACCCAATTTGGACTGGTCCAGAACCCAGTTTGGAACGGTCTCTGTAAATAAATGACTTGGTTTCTTCTTTCAGCTGCTCCCTTCTTCAGGGGTCGCCACAGCAAACAAACTCCTACAAAGTCTTGGAAATAGTTTTTATGCTGGATACCCATCATGACGCAACCACAGACCACCGAGCTGCCAGCTCGGGCGCCCAGTGGGAGCAGATGGTGGGGGCTGAGAGCCTTGCTCAAGGGCCCAGCATGGGGCAAATGAGGGTGGAGGCAGGTGTGGGTGCTTCAACTTTCCCACCCACATTTTGTTGTCAGTCCAGGGAGTTGAACATGCGACCTTCCGATCACAGGCCCACCTTCTCTAACCTCTGCGCCACCGCTTAATCATTCGGTCTCCCAATAATTCCTGCATTAAAAACTGCTGCTCAAAATATTGTTTCTTTCCATAAATAACTATTTTTATGTTTTACATATTTAAATAATTGATCTATAAATTATATATATATATATATATATAATCTATAAATGAACTCGTGAGAAACAAAGATTAATTTGAACGTCGTTCTTCAACATCTGGACTTGTTGAGATGTAAAATTCTCAGGTCAACAACTATTTGTCATTTTTTACCAGTTGCTTTGTAGAAACATGTAAAACTCAACACTCGAAGGATTAATTAAAGCTTAATTAATTAACATTTATTAAAGCTTAATTAATTAACATTTATTAAAGCTTAATTAATTAGCATTAAAGCTTAATTAATTAACATTAAAGTGTAATGAATTAACATTTATTAAAGCTTAATTAATTAACATAACATAACATAGGAAACCTACGTGTGATCAGGAAGAACGTGTAAACTCCACCCAGGAAGGTGCCAGGTGGGAGGTGAACCTGTGACGTTCTTACTGTGAGGCGACGGCTCCACCCACTGCTCCGCCACGTCGCCTAGAGCCTTATTTAAATGCGGAACAGCACAGAAAGTTGCTGTTTGGTTGGCAGCGCAGTGTCAGGCGCACATCTCCCTTTGTGAATTAAACGGATGTGTAAAATTCTTACAACCAGTAATAAGTTTTCTTTACTTTACTAAAGTATTTGTACACGTTCTTACAAACAAAATAAAGAATGTTATTGATGTAATACCAGTTTGAACCGCTGCAGTATGAAATCACTTTTACGGTTTAAAGTTTTAAGCAAACGTCACAAACGCGCTTAAATTCAAGGACGGGTGTTTTCAAGCGAGGCTCTTTGATGGTTCCGACTGGTTTCTGAACCATCGGGAGGAACCGGACCGACCGCGTCCGAAACTAATCGTTTGATGACGAACGGTGAAAAACGAGAACGGCGTTCCAGAACCTGAAGCAGGGAAGTCGTTCGGTCTGAGAACGGCACAGTCCAGAACTGATTGCACACGTTCGGATCCATCTGGGGTTCGAACTACAACTCGTTTGTTTCTGCAGCTTACCGGAGACGGCACTGAGGGCGAGCGAGACGAACCAGAAGAAGAGCGAGAGCGCCAAAGTGACGCACAGAACGATCATGTCGGTCATCATCTTGATGTATTCCTTCGTCAGGACGGCGTCCTCAGAATCCATGACTGCAGGGGACAGGACGGGCTGCAGGACAGGAGGACAGAACCGAGACGTCACGTTAGACAGGAGGACCGTTCGTGCTGCTTTCAAACACACAAACTGGGCTGGGAAGTTTAGATCTGTAAAGACTTTAACCAAATTATTCAACACTTGTTTTCATTTTGAGAGAAATAAATCAACAGTTTGAACCAAATCTGAAGAATCCGTTAACATTTCTTAAAAACTAAACTCTGCTGCATTTTTACTAGTCGTTTAATTTGTATCTACAAAGTAAAAGCTTAAATATTTAAGTGTCAAAGCCTTTGTCTTTAAAATAAAATGCTTGACAGAGTCTTCTAATTAACTGATCCTAAATAATGCAATTATTGAAACTGGTCATTATGTTTGTTTCTGTGAGGCAGTTACCTCATGATGTAATTAAAACCAAAAAAATTAAATACATGAATACAAATATGAACGAGTTAAACAAGTTTGTGGTTAATTTTAGGGCAAATCTGGATTTTTAAACCTTGAACATGATCAGCAGCATCAGGAAAACAGCTTTGATGAACGTCACCTGCTGGATTTATTGTGTGTAAATAAAGTTAGGTCAATTAAAATAAACATCTGGTTATCCGTGTTCAACAACGTGCAAGATATTACAAAGATATTACGATTTGGCCTTTGATTAAATTAGTAAGTATAAAGGAATTCTAATGAAATTATTTCATTTATCATGGAATAAAAATATATAAACATGCAGGAAGTTTCAGGATTTTTTTTTTTACTTTTCCATTTAAAACAGTAAAACTCAAAGACAGCAGGGTTTTAGGAAATAAGCACAAGAAACAATTTTAAGAGTAACCAAATTGATTGAGGTCAAGCAGAGACGCAAAACATTTGAAGTAACAGTGAATTCTTTAACATTTATTTTACTCTGAAGTGAAATTTTCACCCATTCAGAAACTAAAAATCGAAAAAGAAAACTAAGTGGTCATCTGACATTTTTATTTTGTTTCTGCAACAAACAACCCAGCGTGAACACCAGCAGTTTAGAATATGACAATTTAACCTCTTAACGTGAACACAGTGAAGCGAATGACTAAACCTTGAACAAATGTAGGAATTAAGGACATTCTACTTAATTAGCATTTTAGCACCAAAACGAACAATATAAATTACAATAAAATGTTAAATTGTTTGTAACGCAAATGGAAACGAGACGAGTCAATATTCACGTCAGTGTTTTTTTTTATTCATTCTGTTAAAACTCACCAACAGCAGTTGTTTTAGAAATCATCGTGGATCGTTTCCTTCGACCTCCGACGACAGCTAAATTTAACTTTATTTTTAATTAAAGATAAAACAAATTTCTGTTTTTCTGCTGTCTGATCGCAAACTGTTATTTTAACAAGAAAAACAAAGCGAGTAACCCCGATTATTTAAGCTACAGACCGACAGAGCAGAGACAGGAAGCGGGTGGCGGAGGAATTTAACTGACGGACCAGCTTCCGTCAGCTGACAGCTTCGTTCTTAAAGGATTAACTGTCGGCCAACACAAATATAGTGATCAGTGACGGTACATTTTATTAGTTTTTCGTGAATAAGAAAGCATTTTAGGCCTATTTACATAACTAATATCGTCGCAAATAAAGGTGACAACATTCATCTAGTGTCAAATTAGCTCTAAATTAACACAATAAAAATATTCACGTTTTATTGATAAATTAACATATTGTATTTGTAAGTCTTGTTTAAAACATTAAATGCAGTGATAAATTAAGTTTACATAGGTTTTCTGAGAACGGGGAAGCTTTTCTCTTAAAAGCAGGATGTTGCAAAATTTTGCACATTTTAAAATCTGATTAATATTAACAAAAAATATTTAATATTCAGTAACGGTCTACAAGGTCAGTTTTTAAAGCTGTGGTATGACTGGACTTTAAAATCCATCCATCACTTTCCGCTTGTTCTGAAGTCGGGTCGTGGAGGCAGCTGGAGCAGGGAGGCCCAGACATCTTTCCACGTCCACCTCTTCTAGCTCTTCAGGGACGACTCCAAGGCGTTCAAAGGCCAACTGAGAGACAGTCTCTTTAGGGTGTCCTGGGTCTTCTCCGGGGTCTACTCCCAGTCGGACATGCCCGAACCACTTCAAGTGGCTCTTCTGGATGTGGAGGAGCAGCGGTTCTACTCCAAGTCTCTCCTGGAATTGTAAACACTTCATTTCTGTCAAGCACCCTGCTCGTTGGTGTGCAACTCCACATGTGAACCTCCAGGCTCCAACCTGCGGCTGCCTTTGGGCTCCTCCTGCTCACGTACGACTGCTTGGTTAGCTCGGCACTAGCCCCCATCACTCTTAGGGGCTGAGATTTTTTTTAAGGGTAGACGCGGAAATGCTTACTTGAAGTGGCAGATGATCATATGTGATATTAAGAAGTTATGTTGTGTCGTCTGTTGTGTTTAAAATTAGTGTTTATGTAATTATTTTCAGATTACATACCCAGTAGAAGTGTTATTCATTCAAGGCAGTCATATTTGTCAATAATTTTATTATTAATAAGCCTGAAAGTTGCCAGATCCAAACAAACAGTTACCGGAATACACCCTGTCAAAATAAGAGTAATAAGAGTTCCTGGATCCTTTTCCGACGGGATTCGGCTCAAATTAAGCCCTGCTGACCAGTAAACGGAGAGCTTTGCTTTACAGCTCAGCTCCCTCTTCACCACAACGGACCAGCTCAGAGGATGCAGTACTGATCCACCCTTTTCCGGTTGAGGACCATGGCCTCAGATTTGGAGGTGCTGATCCAGTGTTCCACGGCCAGGACAGAACCCACATTGTTCCTTCTGGATCTGAGGTTTGACCAACAATCGGACTCGCTTCTCCAGCACCCCTGAATAGACCTTCCCAGGGAGTCTGTGGAGAGTGATGCCCCTGTAATTGGAGCACAGCCTCCAGTCCCCATTTTTGAAGAGGGGAACCACCCTCACCCCCCCAGTCTGTAAATCCAGTGGCACTGCCCCCGATGTCCATGTAATAATGCAAAGATGTGTCAGCCAAGACGGCCCCACAACATCCAGAGCTTTAAGGACTTTAAAACTAACATTTTAAAAGTTAAATATGTATAACAACAAAGGCATATTCAAGAACAAGGTGCTTTAAAAACATTCTGCTCAGAGAGTTAACTCCAGCACCTCACAACAGATCATATCTGAAAGTATAAAAACTCATTCTTGACGTAAGCAGAAGAATATTCTGTTGAAACAACAACAGGAACACAAAGTAATCCTCACCATTTCACTGTGAGAGCGTGAACTCTCGTCGGCTTTCGTGTACTTTAAATCCGTGCGCCAGATGTTTCCTGGCAGATGTGAAGAGTTTGAAGTCCTGGCGGTGGAGACGGCAGCAGAACACAAACACAGCTCTGTCTCTAACCAAACCGTCCCTCACGTCTCAAACACAGGAGCTGTTCTTTCAGGGACAGGAACTCCCTGATGGCTCCATCTTGGATCAGCTGACGACATGGTTAAAGCGGTTTCCATGGCGACTCGTCTCAACCTTTTAACAGTTTCTCTAAAAAGTTGAGAAGATGAAATATTTCACTGTAAACAGATTATTGACACGGAGACATGGAAGTGTCCAAGTGTCTCTCCATGAAACACGTCCCACAAGTTCACGTCAAAATCAAACAATTATCAGAATAAAGTTAAAGTTGTCTTCATTTGTTTGTCATCCATCCATGCATCCATCCAACTGTCTGTCCATTCATTCATCCATCCATTTGTCCATCCTTCTGTCCATCCATCCATCCATCATCCATCCATCCATCTGTCTATCATCATCCATTTATCATCCATCCATTTAACCATCCATCCAACTATCCATCCATCCGTCCATTTAACTGTCCATCCATCATCCATTTATC